AACACGAGAATTAACAGCCTACACGGTCCCACGGGGAAAAGCTAAACTCCAGAACGGGGCTGACATGCTTGAATTCCCACTGTTCCAATATTTTTTGGATGTCAAAAGTCTTCCAACAGAGAAAATGCCAAAGGCTTCAAATGCCATTTTTAGGCTCCTTCTGCCAGCGCTTCTCCAACAAAGAACTGTGCTGGTGAATTCGAGACATCTGGGATGAACAGCATCAGGCCCCTCTGTAACTTCTAGAGAGGCTTGGGGTTCCCTCTAATGTGCCCTGACAATTCCCAAAGGGAAGCTTATGTCCTCACTTTTCAAAGCAAATCTGTAAGGATGGGGTTCAGAGAGCAGGGAGGCAGCTGTGGCTCTTTAGAATTACAGACTATCTAATGTCACGAATGCAAAATTTCTACTTGCCAGAGGGTGCATATGCTCTCCAGAGAGAGACAGAGACAGGAGAGGGAGAGGGAGAGAGCAACCCCCACAGTGGAGCATGGTCAAGCTGCAATCCCTCCTCCACTTCTCCCTCGTGTCGGGGTTGGAGCACGCACGCACATGTGCATAGTGTGCTTCTCCAGCCACCTGGCCCAGGATTCAAACTGCACAGGCAGCCATGTGGGATCTGGCTCCTGTAACCACTAGGCCATGGGGCTGGCCCCTTAAGTGCAAATTTAGACTGTGAAAAACAAAAATATGCTAATGAATGCATTATGCTTGCTGCAGCTAAAGCATCCGAGAGGACCGGTTTCTACACTGAGTGCCGACCAAGGCCAGAGGCCCCTGACGGTCATAGGGGCTGCAACGAGGTCTGTTCAGAACTTGCGTAGGAACCCCCATCAGGACAGACGGGGGCCAGAGATTTAGTATCAAAATATCTGCAGCAAGAGAGCTGGAAAAGATAGCTGTGACCTGCGAACATGCACCTCCAGTTACCACACTTTCCCCCAGTGGTGGCCACAGGACGCTTGCTGTGCAGCTGGGCAACGCTAGAGCTGTCAGAGCAACACAGAGGGCGGCACAGGCACGCGGGACCGACGACGTCAGGGCTAACACAGATGTGCACATACGCGGTGAAAAGCCAATTCCAGCAGAGTCTGCACGTGACGCGCCGCCATGCTGCCGGCTTCGGAGGTGAGCACGCGAGAGCCGGCAGGGAGGACGAGCCAGACACAGTCGAATCTTAGACAGTCAGTCTTAGAAACAAACACAGCTAATTCGGCACACATGTTTAGTGTCTTCTATGATGTCTTTTTCAGATGTTTTCCATGGGTGGTTCTTGGGGTGGTATGCAGGGACTTGAAAAAGTTCACAGAAAATGGAATTGAAGTACAAGTTTATCCTAGTATAAAAAAGTGCAAAATCCATGCATAGTTTTTGCAAAATATGCATTTTCCATGAATTTTGCAGAGTATGATAAACAGTAAGAATCAGGTCAGTCACCCTAAATATAACGACACTTACAGTTTCAGAGCAAGAGAAGTGCGTGCAAGGTCTTTCCTTGCTACTGTGGAGAGCTCCGTGTCGTGCGCTGCTCACCGACAGCGCCTCTGATTAGAAAGGCTGTTGGGGCTGCAGCAGCCAGACATGGCAATCTGAGAGGCTGGGCCCGCGGGAGGGTTCCGGGTTCGCACCTGCAGACATCCCTGAGCACACCGCGCATGTGTGTGCCCGCGACCCAGGGCTGGCTGAGGCTGGGGGTGGATTGTGATGTGAAGACCTATCAGGGTGCTGTCTGTCTGTCTTTCTCATTCATGGAAGAAATAAACTTAACAAGGAAAGAAAGAATGAAAGGTTGTATACGGCCTATCCAATCATGACGCTGAGCTGCCTGTGTGTTCTCTGTAGGCCAGCCCAGGACTAGTACTTTCCAGGGAAAAGACCTGATGTTTTTATTTCAATGAAAGTTTTCTTAGTTGTTCATGATGAAAGAAGCAAAAGTTGAGAAGTTATTAAAATCTTTTCATCCATTAATTTTCATGTGTTGAACATCACTTTCAGGCCCAAAAAAAAAAAAAAAAAAAAAAAACATGGGCTGAGTCAAACTTCTGGAAGAGAAAGATCAAGTCCTCAAGCCACAGCGAATTATGAAGATGCCACGAGTCCAAGAAGTTTCAGGAATTGTACCGGAAAGTCGGCAAAGGCGGCACTCGAGTGTCTGTGTCCCCCGCTAGAGGAAGGTGAGCTGCCCGGCTAGTCTCAGAGGGCAGCAGAGCTTATGGGGACCTCGAGACACCCGCTGATGGGTCCTCACGTAACAGGCTGGGCGGCTGTTGGCCAAAGGACTGCAGCATAATCCCCCAATTATCTTCACACCGTTTTCTGACTCCCAGATAAAATATGTTTGAAAGTATAAAAGGACTGGAGATCATTAGTGAGTTCATGAATATTTCACTTTGTCTTGGTAATAACTGTAAATCTGTATTCGTGCCCAGGTACTCCGTCAGCTCTTCTCAGCCTGACTCAGTGACAAATCCCTCGAACGTCCTCGTGTGCAAGAGGAGAATACGATCCAAGTAAGCTGGGGTCATGATCGGGGAGCTCTTCGATTCTCTTACCTTCTCTCTGCTGCACTTGGAGAACCTTACCAGGGAACGTTCTGCAAGTTCTCTGGCTGTGGCTGAACCAAGAATGACTGGAGCTCTCACCAGAGAACGGTGGAGGTCACGCTGCATCAGTCAAGAGCTCACTCAGCCACGACGGGAAGGTGAGGTGCCTCAGGAGCGTGGTGGGCGAGTGGGTTTCAGTTCTGGCTTGTGGGGCGGGTTCGGGAAGTGGTTGGGCCATCAGTGGGTAACTTCCAGATAGTCAGCTCCTTAGAGGGGGCAGCTCGCCAGAGAAGACGAAATCAGACAAGATGCCATCACAGGCAGTTGTCTGATGTCCTGCCAAATTCAGTGACAGCATGAAATATCCTGACGCCTAAGGGGCTTTAGTAACAGGTCATGTTCTGATTTGCCTAAGTTCTAAAATCTTTAAATGCTTTGTGCTACAGGATTGTACTGCTGGGAGAGAGGTTTGGAAAGTGCTAGAAAACCAAAAGAGAAACAGTTTGTGTTTCCAAAAAAAAAAGTGACCTTAAGTTTGAAGGTGTAGGGGCTAGCACGTGGTGACCTAAACTGTCCACGCACAATGCAGAGGTCCTGTGTTAGGGTCCGAGTTGTTCCCGCGGCCTGTCTCTTAGAGTCTGTGCAAGTCACACAGCAGCTCCTCCAGTAGCCCTCTTGGCGCTGCCACGGCAACACGGGGCTGGTCTCTTACCAGTCACCTTTAGTATCCTCTATACGAAGCAACCTTGGTTCCTCTTCCAAAGACACACAGGAGGAAAGCAAGACGAATGGACGAAGGAACGAAAGCAGACACAAAAGCCAACCAGAACCACCTCCCGGCTGTTCGCAAAGGGCTCACTATGAAATCTGGCTTTTCTATCCTCTGACTGTCATTCGAAACTCAGCTCCTCTCCTGGCAGGAGGGAGAGGGATGGCTGCCCGGTAATGATCCGGATTTTTCATGAGCCAGTTCAGGAACCTGCTGTAGATCTTATCTTAACCTCTCTCTACAGGCCACAAATCATCACAAACAAGGAGATGAGGGATCCATTGGAGTAGGTTTGACGAGAGAATCAAACGAATTCTGAGAAGAAACCTACTCTTTCAGATGTCATGAAATTTATGATAACAGAATACTGGACCCAAGGGCTCAGAAGGAAGCTAATGAACAGTCAGAAAAGATCAAAATTAGGGCGAACCGTACAGACCACTACTCAGAATCCACTAAATATGTTATCGAAAAATTATTTGTCACATTTGTGTTCCTCTTTAAATTTGAAATAATTTCAAAAATTTTTAATTGTCAGAAGGCATGTGTGCTCGCCAGGGGAGTGGGAAGAAGAAAGCATGCCCCAGTGGGGGGCGGTCACGGTGCAATCCCTTCTTCTCCACTTCTCCCTGTCAGGATTTGGGGCACGCAAAAAATATGTCTGGCATATTTTTCAAACTGCCAGAGTTGGGATTCAAACCACTCAGTTAGACATGTGGGATCTGGTTTCCCTTAATCACCAGACCACAGAGCCAGCCCCCAAATAACGTTCTAATGTCCAAGAATGCCAACGTTAAGCACAGACACTGGCTTAAGGAAAGATAGCACTGTATCTGTTAAGGCCTAAAATACGGTCTGTATTGTTGTCTGAAAATCCTCTAGGTCCTAAATGCTAACTTGGAGCTCACCCCGGCGACCCCTGGCTCTGACTTCGCTGCTCCGTAGAGTTCTCTGGGCTGACACGTGTGGTTCTCCTCTAGAGCGGAAGGGAACATGATGATCAGCCAGATGCGTTTTCCACAGGGATCCTTTTTAATAAAGCGGGTTATTCCAGGCCTGTCTGAGACAGCCCACAGGTGTTGTCAAGGAAGCTTGTCACCCGGTAGCGGGAAAAGTCCTTTATCTGGCGGTACTTCCCTGGGGCGTGGCCTCAGCTTTCCCCACTGTGGAGCGCGGCCCACACAAGGACCGTCCTAGAATTTTTTAGTGCACGCTCCCCTGTATGCTGACAGCCAAGACCTTGGGCGTGCCCTGGACATCACGTCTGTTCTTTCAATTGGGAGGATATTTGACTGAGCTTTTTCTACATATGCAAGGGGCCTGCAGAAGGTTCACAGAAAAATGGAATTAGCGTAGGAGTTTATTTTGGTCAAAAATGTGTGAAATCCATGCAGTTTTTTCATAATGTGCATTTACCACAAACTTTCTGGAGAGCCCCGGTGTAAGTAAAGAGTTTTCACACTGCCTTACACCGGGGGATGGCAGGGAGCGGGTGCTGGGGTGGAAGTGCCCAGGTGGGCAGTGGTGGGACAGCGCGAGAGCGAACCTGGAGAAGGAACAGCAGAGTCTGGCACAGACCAGAGCACCCGTCTCCACACTCTGCGACCCCACACACAGCGGTCAGGTGAGAAGCCAAGCACGGCCCAGTGCCCAGCGGACTGGGAGGGGCAGCCCCGCTCGCGACCAACCTGCCGTGGCCCTGCATGTCGCCCAGCTCCTTCTGCAGCCGGGCGTTCTTCTCCTCCTCCTCCAGCAGCCGCCTCATCACGGTGCGCAGCTCCTGCTGGGCCTCGCACTTGATGTCGTTGGCCACCACCACCGCGGTCTGTAGGTCCGCCTGGAACCGCCGCCATTCCTCCGTCTCCTCCTGGAAAGGCCAGAATACACGCCCGTGTCCCACGCCGGCCAGGGGCTCCGAGTCCCGTGTGGGTCACTGGGAGAGTGACCGGAGCACCGGGGGGCCCTGCGTAATGGTGTGTCGCTACCAGGAAAAGGCCAGGTGGGGATGAGGGCCGGCCCCACGGCATCAGGGCTCTCCATCCTAGCACTGGACGGCCAACAAGAACTCACGGCTCCGAGGCCAACACCTCGGAAATGCTCCGTGAAGAAATGAGCGAGAGAGGGTGGGGGACCAGGCCATCTTCCCAAGGTTTCCAAACCTAAGCGGGTCATTTACAGCAGAGTGACATAAACGGCTCCGGTCACCTCTCCACAGCCCGCGACTCACCTTGATCTGCTTGGTCAGAGTCTTCAGCTGCCTTTCTAGGTCTGACTTCTGCTCCTGCAGCTTGATCACGTTACCTAGAAATAAACGATGCACACCCGAGTTGGCAGAACCGCCGTCAGCCACGTGCGAATCCAGCGCCTTAACCACCGCGCCCCCTGCTGGCCCCATTACTATGACTTCTAAACAAGTCTCTAGAGTCGTGGTTCTTAACCGCAGTCAAGCCTCAGGGCCATTCACGAAGCTTTTCACAGCACAGACTGCACAGACCGCACAGCCCTGGAATCCGCCCTCCAGGGGCAGACAGCACCCGGCATGTGCACGTCCTAACAGCTGCACAGGTGGCTGGACACCTCCTCCTAACTCCGGACATCTCGGCCCGCTGCTAAGACACTGCGCACCACCAGCCGGCACCACCGGGAGGCCTGGGTTTGAGTCCCGGACCAGTGAAGCCTGGGCACAGAGGTGCATGTCTGTCACCCCAGCACCTCGGCAGGCTGAGGCAGGAGGAGAGTGAGCTTGGGCTGGCCCAGGGAACACAGGAAACCCTAAAAGAGCTGGGCACAGGGGTGCGCAAGAGGATCACAACAGTGAAATTGCCTTTTTTTTTTTAAAGTTTTTTTTTTTACTTCTTCCATGAGTAAGAGACACCAGGAGAGAAAGCCAGCACCCCAGCAGGGCTCTGAGCTCCGTCACCAGCGTGGGCCACTGTGGGATCACAGGCACCTGCATGCCCAATGTACTGAGCCAGGTGGGGTGTCTCCAAGCGTGGCCAGGAACCTCTCCCACGTGAGTCAGCCTCGCAGTTTCAGGCCCTAGACTGCACCACCACCCAGACCCCTGAGACACTGTCGAAAGGAAGGAAGGAAGGGAGGAAGGAAGGCAGGCGGGCAGGAAGAGGGAGGGAGGGCTGGTTTTCCGTCCGTTCTCCTTCGATTCTCTCCATGCCGCTATCAGTCGTTTAAATTTAAACCTGATCACCACAATCGCCCAGTTAAAACTCGTCCGTGGCTGCTCTGATCTAGAGCAGCTTTCTATTAAGGACATTAATCAGAAGCACAAATGAAAAAATAATACAGGCGGCAGGTCCTCTCTAGTAGTTTTGCTTCCGCGTGAGGGGCCTCGGAGTTTGTCTGGGTCAGCGCTGCAGAGTAGGAGATTGCTCCCTAACTTCTTTTTGTGCCCCCTCATGTCTCTCAAAGATCATGGCAAGGAGTGACTGGTAAAGGGTTTGATTTCTGTGTCCCTGGGCTCCCTAACAGAAACTATCTTAGGCCCAGCTGTGATGGCACAAGCAACAAGGCATCACTGTGTGAAGGCAGGGCCGAGTGGGAGGCCTGGGTTCAGATCCTGGAGCTACCTGAACCAGCCTGCAATCCCAGCTAACCGGGAGCCTAGGGCAGAGGATCGCAATGGTGAGACCCTGCCAGATCCTCCCTGTCTCTCCCCCTCCTCTTCCCGGGCTCACAGTTGGTCTCATTAAAAGAAGGAGGGGAGGAGATGGTATGATGGTTAAAGCGCTGGACTCCCATATGGCAGACCATGGTTTGAGTCCCGGAACCAGCAAGTTGAAATTCAACCCATGCACATGTGTGTGCGTGCCCAAAATCTCGAGGAGGGGGTGATTTCTCACTTTCCCTCTCACTGTCTCTCTTGTGGGCGAGCACATGTGTTCTACAGCAAAAACCTAAAAAGAACTCTTCGTAATACCTGAACATCCCTAACTGAAGTTTAGAAGACACTGTGTTTTCGGTATGGGCGTATGATGATGTAACCGCAGGGGCTGGGACTGAAGTTGGCTCTGGACATTAATTACACATTGGTTTTCTCGAGGAGACTGTGCTTTTAAGGACGTAAAGACAATACAACCATCTCAACAGCAACGTGTCACAAAAACAAAAACAAAACGCCGCAGGGCTTGTCCCCCTCCACTGCTCGCCCTGCACGGCACGGCGCTTGGACCGACGTGGGGGACGGCGTCGAGGTCTTCAGCCGATCCTTGGCATGACCTGACAGTGAGCACCGAGCTTCTGCGGCTCCGTGCGATCACGGCCCACGGAGAACAGAACGCGCTGCAGGGTGTGCCGCTGACCGGGTGCACGAGGCGAGGCGCGCAGTCACCTCTCAGCACCACAGCAGCCACGTACGGCACCACGCGTGCTCAAACCGCGGACACGGAGTCATGGCTCTTGGCCGAAACACAGGGTTAGGGTCCTGCGAGCCTCTGGCCACGTTTCATCAACTGAAGCTCCCTCTGGGTTTATGTGGGCCTGTCTGCTGATGTCTCAGCAGGGTGAGAGACCTGCTCTCCCGACTATCCTCTTCCTCACAATGCCAGGCAGGCTTTTTTTTCTTTCTTTCTTTCTTTCTTTCTTTCTTTCTTTCTTTCTTAATTTGCTATAGGATGTAAGTGCTCACCAAAGAGAAAGAGATGGAAAGGGAAGGGAGAAAGCTATCTCCATGGGGGATGGCCACGCCACAGTCTCTTCTCCACTCTCCTGTTGAGATTTGGGGCATGGATGCACATATGCCCAGAGTGTTTTTCAAGCTGCTGGATCTGGGACTTGAACCGTGCAGTTGGCCATGTGAGATCCAGCTGGTTTAACCATCATCCACCTGCTGGCCCAAACAAGTATTTTATTTATTTATTTGTTTATTTATTTATTGCCTTAGGGAACCTGTGCTGGGAGGGGAGGGGAAGGAAAGGGGGGAAAAGACAGAGACAGTGAGAAGGAAAGTGAGAAACCCCCTGGGACGGGTGGCCATGCCACAATCCTTCCTCTTCCTCCTGGATCTTCAGCATGCACGCACACATGCCTAGTGTGAATTTCAAGACACTGGGTCCAGGACTGGAACTGCGGTTGGTCATGTGGGAGTTCAGTGATGTAACTGCTACACCTTCTGCTGGCCCCCCCAAGTATCTGAAAAATTCTTCTGTAGCCTGATGATCTGCAGAACCTGCTTCGTCTGCAAGTTTAATTTTTCTCAGCACAGTTGTGGTGGTGCAGGTGACAGCATGCCACTCTGCAGTGCTGGAGCCACACAACCAATCCCAGGTAGACCTAAAAACACCACCACATCGGGCATGTGTGTGCCCATGACCCTGGCTGACGGGGTGGCTGGGGGAGGGAACTGCTGTGTGACAAGACCCTGTCATGGGTGCCTGTCTCTAAACGTAAGAAAAGAAAAGGTTCTGTTCTCAAGCCTTATGGGTCTTTTGAACCTTGCAAGCCAGCTAGGATTGGCTGAGAGGGTTTACAGTTCCCTGACTCTGGGCAACTGAACATAAATGTCTTTGATTTTTGGTTTCAAAACAATGCTATCCACTATGCCTTTTTAAAAAATCGGCCTTCATCTCGTAAGTCCAAAAATGAAGTCCCTTTTCCCTCTTTCCCACAGCGTCATCACGCACGACAGACGGCACTTGGGCATGTGCGGACAGGCTGGAGAACTCCCTTCCTTCGTCTGGGTGTGCTGAACTGCTGGCTCGGGACAGCCCAGGGACGTCACTTAGTTTAAGAGATACGCTACTGTTCCTTATTTTTTTTTTACAAGGGAACCTAGCGAGCTCCTGTCTCCTCTGTAAGGTCCATCGCAGCCTTCGAGGGCTTGGAGACAGCAGACGGCACTCCAACGCTGTATGTATGGGGCATTTAATCCTTTCTTTATAATTGCTAAAGTGCACGTTTCACTGGAGAGAGAGCCACATGGGGGGAGCGGGGTGGTCACACTGCGATCCCCTTCCCTCCATTTCTCCAGCCTGTGGGGATTCAGGGCATGCAGGCAAATGTGCCTGGGGTGCTTTTCAAGCCACGAGGGGTGAGATTCCAACCGCAGTTGGCCATGTGGGGTCTGACTTCCTCAACCACTGGGCTACGGGGCCAGCCCTCGGAGGGCATTTTAAACAAAATTACCAAATCCGCTAAGCACAGGTACTAAAGAGACTGCCAAAAAGATACTTGTCTACAGTATGAGAACTGGTCCAGGAGGCAAGGGTGTCTCTGCAGTTAGGAACACCAATGCCAGGCGGCTCAACTTCATCTCTGTCCGCGCCCGGAGGTGACTGTGAGCATGCTGTACTTATTTTCGGGTTAAAGTACATCGTGGTGAGTAGGTGGATTCGTCAGTGTGGAATCTGCGAGGGATGAGCGCTGACTGTACATATCAGGAAGGCCTCAGCACCCCGCTAAGCTATTTTTAGTAAGGGACAGTGTCACAAAAAACCTTCTGCATTAATTCTTTTGTATGAAAGCAAAACACATTAAGTGTGATCATGTGATCGGGCGATGTTTAATCACTTCAAAAGCTACCTTTCCCCATGGACAGCAAACACTGGGCCCATAATGGGCCATCTGTCCACGCTCCTCAGTGACTGGCCAGCGTCTCTGAGTGATCTGATACCCTACCACCGGAGGGGCGCGTTGGGACTGTTTTCTCCCCGAGACCAAGAGCACACGTGGCTCTGACCACCTGCCGCCCCTCTGCGGCCACCTGACCGAGACGAGAGCTTGTCAACATGCGGTGACTGCAGCAAATGGTTTGGAATAACCCTCCACACCGAGGGATGAGCCTCGGGTCGGCTCACGTGGACCCCACACACCCTCGGCAAGCTGTCACCACAGCTGCCCCGGAGGACACAAGCAGCTAGCGACAGCGGTGGCGTGCGCGCACAGCAAGCCGACGTACCAAAGTGCGTGCGCCCTTCCCACGGTTACCCCACGCTGCTGGCCCGTGCTCCGCAGTCCTCCTCTCCAGCCAGTCTTCCACTCAGTTTAAGAGATACACTACTGTTCCTTATTTGTTTTTAGAGAAAGAAATCTTTCTTGGCATAGGACACATGTGCTCAGCAGAGAGACAGAGAGAGGGAAAATGAGAACTCAGCCCCCAGAGAGGATGGTCACGCTGCAATCCCTTCTCCTCCATCCTCCTCTTGGGATCTTGGGCACGCACCTGGCACGCGTTTCAAGCTGCTGGGTCTGAGACTCGAACCATGGTCGGCCATGTGGGAGTCCAACGCCTTACCTACTATGCCACCTGCTGGCCCTAGTTGTTGTTTCTTAAAAGCCATTCTTCCTGGGACAGTGTGTCAATAGAATATTCATCCCAGCCCTGCTCTGCTGCAGGCGGCGGCTTGCTATGTGCAGTGCTGGAACCACATGGTCACCTCTGGTCCAGCTCCCAGGTGACTGAAACACGCCTGACAGGTGCACCCAAGAGCCTGACATGCTGGCGGGCTGGGGGAAGCGGGTCACGGAGTGATGAAACCCCACTGAGGGTGCCTGTTTCGCTCTCTCTTTCTCTCATGAGAGAAATAAACTGAAGAATGGAAGGAGGGAGGGAAAGAAGGCAGGGAGAAAGAGACGGATTCCTCCTAAGCCCAGCCAGCACACATGGCCAGGGCCCCCCAGGCACCCGCACCTCGCTGCCTCAGTGCCCGGCTCCCCTCCCCCGCCTGTGTGGCCTCACTTACTTTCCAGCTCACTGATGAGCTGGTTGTTATGTAACTTCACCGCCCGGTGCTGCTCCACCTGATCTTCCAGCTCGAATATGGTCTCCTTCATGTCCTTGATCTCCGCGTCGCTCTCCGAGGCTTTCTCCTGCAGCTTCAGGCTGGTTCTGCTCAGCTGCTCTGCCTGGTGGTCACTGATCTCCTTCAGATAGGCATAGTCCTTCTCCACCTAGGATAAAAGCAAGTTGTGTTCTGTTTTGGGTTTTCGTTGTAGAGGGCAAGTGTGCCAGCTAGAGAGAGAGAGAGGAAGCACTGCCCCTGGGGCCCGGCCAGGCTGCAATCGCTCCTTCACCTGCACGCCCCGTCAGGATTTTGGACACACAAGCACGAGTCACCAGGGCCGGGATTCAAACCGCAGTTGGCCGTCTGGGATCAGCTCCCTGTGCACAGCAGGAAAGCCGTATGCTACGGGCCAGCCCTCCTGCCAGCTTAAGGACAAAATCCCCAGGTGGGCAGTGGGCTCACTACACAGTGGCAAGAGGCTGCTCTTGGCATGAGCTGTTTCTCTTCATCTGCGCCTCAGAAACAGCCAAGGTTACAAATTTTCAGAGAAACATGTTTCCAAATAGCTGGCTTCTGCGCCCTTGCCTACAGGCAGAAAGACAGCAGCGTGAGCACAAATACCCATCTTTCCTGTGTAAGCCACAGAGGGCTTCCCTGAGAGGCTCGGGAACAAGGCCTAGCTGGCCCCACCTCGCAGCTGCTGGGGAGCGGCGCCCTCTGCTGGTGAGCCACGAGCAGTGCCCCTGAAGCCTGGCTGTACAAACCCCCCAGACTGAAGGTCACAGGGTCTCTTCAGAGACAGAGGTGAAGGTGATAGAGAGCAAAAGGCACAGAACATAGAATCGTACACCTACACCGAAAACAGAAACCCAGCACAGCTGTGTGTGTCTCACCCGTTTGTTTTTAATTAAGCATTTTAAATACACAGAGAAGCACTGAAAATGAGATGACCAGGCAAACAAATTCAACAGATCAATTTTGCCACATTTGCTAAATATTGCTACTTCCATAAGATCTGTGAAAGCCTTGGGGTCAGCAGGTAGTGCAGTGCTTAAGGCGCTGGACTCCCATGCACTTGACGGCAGTTCGAGTCTCAGACCCGGCAGCTTGAAACTCATGCCAGGTGCATGTGGGTGCTTGACAAAATCCTAAGAGGAGAATGGAAGAGAAGGGATTGCGGCGTGGCCATTCCCTCTGGGGGGTGTTTCTCATTTTCTCTCTGTCTCTATTTCTCCAGCAAACACACATACCCTACAGCAAAAACTTCTCTGGAAAAAGAAGAAGAAAAAGAAAAGCTTAAGGGGCCATGTGGTGGTATAGAGCTGGTACTATTGTACCCACATGAGAAAGGTCCTGGATTCACGCCCTGGGCCTTCCCTAAGCACACCAGATGCACACGTACTCATGCCCTTGACCTGGGCTGGCTAAGACTGATGGTGGATTGTAGTGTAAAGACCTTGCTGAGGATGCCTTTCTGTCTCTTTTTCTCATTGACTAAATTAACAAAAGACTTAAAAAATATTTTTTTTTCCTTTTTTTTTTTTTGAGAGATTTTTTTTGCTATAGAGTACGTGTGCTTGCTGGAGAGACAGATAGGAACAGAGAGACAGAAAATGAGAAATCACCCCCCTCCCCCAAGGGATGATCACACCGCAATTCCTTCTCCTCCATTCTCCTCTCAGGATTTTGGGTACGCAAACATATGCACCTGGTATGGGTTTTAAGCCACTGGGTCTGAAACTTGAACTGTGGTTGACTACTTGAACTGCAGTCGACTTACATGGGAGTCCAGAAACGCAGCGAGCGCCGGCGGTGGCGTGCGCGCACAGCAAGCCGACGTACCAAAGTGCGTGCGCCCTTCCCACGGTTACCCCACGCTGCTGGCCCGTGCTCCGCAGTCCTCCTCTCCAGCCAGTCTTCCACTCAGTTTAAGAGATACACTACTGTTCCTTATTTGTTTTTAGAGAAAGAAATCTTTCTTGGCATAGGACACATGTGCTCAGCAGAGAGACAGAGAGAGGGAAAATGAGAACTCAGCCCCCAGAGAGGATGGTCACGCTGCAATCCCTTCTCCTCCATCCTCCTCTTGGGATCTTGGGCACGCACCTGGCACGCGTTTCAAGCTGCTGGGTCTGAGACTCGAACCATGGTCGGCCATGTGGGAGTCCAACGCCTTACCTACTATGCCACCTGCTGGCCCTAGTTGTTGTTTCTTAAAAGCCATTCTTCCTGGGACAGTGTGTCAATAGAATATTCATCCCAGCCCTGCTCTGCTGCAGGCGGCGGCTTGCTATGTGCAGTGCTGGAACCACATGGTCACCTCTGGTCCAGCTCCCAGGTGACTGAAACACGCCTGACAGGTGCACCCAAGAGCCTGACATGCTGGCGGGCTGGGGGAAGCGGGTCACGGAGTGATGAAACCCCACTGAGGGTGCCTGTTTCGCTCTCTCTTTCTCTCATGAGAGAAATAAACTGAAGAATGGAAGGAGGGAGGGAAAGAAGGCAGGGAGAAAGAGACGGATTCCTCCTAAGCCCAGCCAGCACACATGGCCAGGGCCCCCCAGGCACCCGCACCTCGCTGCCTCAGTGCCCGGCTCCCCTCCCCCGCCTGTGTGGCCTCACTTACTTTCCAGCTCACTGATGAGCTGGTTGTTATGTAACTTCACCGCCCGGTGCTGCTCCACCTGATCTTCCAGCTCGAATATGGTCTCCTTCATGTCCTTGATCTCCGCGTCGCTCTCCGAGGCTTTCTCCTGCAGCTTCAGGCTGGTTCTGCTCAGCTGCTCTGCCTGGTGGTCACTGATCTCCTTCAGATAGGCATAGTCCTTCTCCACCTAGGATAAAAGCAAGTTGTGTTCTGTTTTGGGTTTTCGTTGTAGAGGGCAAGTGTGCCAGCTAGAGAGAGAGAGAGGAAGCACTGCCCCTGGGGCCCGGCCAGGCTGCAATCGCTCCTTCACCTGCACGCCCCGTCAGGATTTTGGACACACAAGCACGAGTCTCCAGGGCCGGGATTCAAACCGCAGTTGGCCGTCTGGGATCAGCTCCCTGTGCACAGCAGGAAAGCCGTATGCTACGGGCCAGCCCTCCTGCCAGCTTAAGGACAAAATCCCCAGGTGGGCAGTGGGCTCACTACACAGTGGCAAGAGGCTGCTCTTGGCATGAGCTGTTTCTCTTCATCTGCGCCTCAGAAACAGCCAAGGTTACAAATTTTCAGAGAAACATGTTTCCAAATAGCTGGCTTCTGCGCCCTTGCCTACAGGCAGAAAGACAGCAGCGTGAGCACAAATACCCATCTTTCCTGTGTAAGCCACAGAGGGCTTCCCTGAGAGGCTCGGGAACAAGGCCTAGCTGGCCCCACCTCGCAGCTGCTGGGGAGCGGCGCCCTCTGCTGGTGAGCCACGAGCAGTGCCCCTGAAGCCTGGCTGTACAAACCCCCCAGACTGAAGGTCACAGGGTCTCTTCAGAGACAGAGGTGAAGGTGATAGAGAGCAAAAGGCACAGAACATAGAATCGTACACCTACACCGAAAACAGAAACCCAGCACAGCTGTGTGTGTCTCACCCGTTTGTTTTTAATTAAGCATTTTAAATACACAGAGAAGCACTGAAAATGAGATGACCAGGCAAACAAATTCAACAGATCAATTTTGCCACATTTGCTAAATATTGCTACTTCCATAAGATCTGTGAAAGCCTTGGGGTCAGCAGGTAGTGCAGTGCTTAAGGCGCTGGACTCCCATGCACTTGACGGCAGTTCGAGTCTCAGACCCGGCAGCTTGAAACTCATGCCAGGTGCATGTGGGTGCTTGACAAAATCCTAAGAGGAGAATGGAAGAGAAGGGATTGCGGCGTGGCCATTCCCTCTGGGGGGTGTTTCTCATTTTCTCTCTGTCTCTATTTCTCCAGCAAACACACATACCCTACAGCAAAGTTTTCTCAATTAAAAAAAAAGAAAAAGGGGGACCAGCCGTTAGTGTAATGGCCGTGTCGCTGGACTCCCATGTAGTCGACCGTGGTTGAGTCCCATATTTGGTGGCTTAAACTCACACGGAGCGCGTGTGCGTGCGTGCCCAAGATCCTGAGAGGAGAATGGAGGAGAAGGGATTGCGGCGTGGCCATCCCCCCTGGGGGGTGATTTCTCATTTTCTGCCTCTCTGTCTCTCTCTGTCTTTCTGGTGAGCACACGTGCCACATAGCAAAAACCTCTCAAAAGAAAAAAAAAAATCTGTGAAAGTCTCAGCCTTCCTTCCTGCCTCAAGGGCAATATGCATGATTCCTAAATTGGCGTGTGGCTTTTCATTTTTACTATAGACGTACATGTCCACAGTGCCCACACAGCAGCAGACACAGGAAACACCTAATAGCGTGTCGTGAATGAGTCATGAATGAATGTCACGAGGCAGCGCTGCAGCGTTCCTCACCTAGGAAACCCTGAAAAGACGGCAGGGAGGGAGGGAGGAAGACAACCAGCACGGGCCGGCGCCGGGCACAGCTGCTCAAGAGAAGCCGGATCCCAGTGGGAGCCGCGGTTCAAACCGCCCAAACACACTGGAAAACCATGTGAATGCTCAGGACCTGACTGGCTGGGGGATGGGAGGCAGGGGACTGTGATGTGAACAGACCCCGAGAGGGTGCCCCTCTCTCACGCCCACGTGTGCTCGATCATGAGTAAACTAAGTAAGGGGGAAGCCAGCACAGGTACCTCCAGAGCCCACTGCTGAGCCTGGGACGGTCCAGCATTGCTCCGTGACTCCCGTGCGCGCTCTGGGCTGCCACACAGATTCCTCATGGCAGGTGATGGTCAGAAAGTTAAAAAGCTGCTGAAGGCCGTGAACATGGCTAAGGGTGCAGATTCTGGAACCAGACTGCCAGGGTTCAAATCCTAACTCTACCAAATGAAGTCCTGTGTTCCTCTGTAGTCCCTCGGCCTCGGTTTCCTTAGCTGAACAACGGGGAGTAAAAGAAGTAACGAATGCCCTCGGGGGTCTGTCACAGGCCCAGCACGTAGCACTCACGACTCGGCAGTCCTTCCTCTCACAGGGGCCGTATATCTTATGTGTACGATAAAAACATAACATGAGATCTGTGTGACCAAAAAAAAAAAAATCACAGAACATGGAAAAGACCAAAATTCCACCATCTTTTTTCTTTTTTGTAGGTTTCTATTTCCTGCCATAGGGTGCTTGCATTTGCCAGAGAGAGAGAGACAGAGAGAGGAAGGTGAGAAATCCCCCCCCGGGGGGATGACCACGCTACAATTCCTTCTCTTCCATTCTTCTCCTGGGATTTTAGGCATGCACACATGCATGCCTGGCATGAACCGTAGATGCTCAAGTGGGAGTCCAGTGGCTTAACCACCATGCCACCTGCTGACTCCCAAAGTCCTCTATCTTAATGACAGATACTTTATTAAACAAAAGATGACATTTTTATTTATTTATTTTTACGTTTTTGTCATAGGGTGCATTTGCTCATTGGAGAAAAAGAGAAAGAGAGAGAGAGAGAGAAATCACCCCCCCAGGAGGATGACCGAGCCACAACTTCTTCTCCTTTCAGGATTTTGGGCACACACGCACACGTGCCTGGAAAGATTTTTAAGCGTCCGAGTCCAGGACTTGAACCATGGTCAGCCATGTGGGAGTCCAGTGCCTTAACCACCATAGCACCTGTGGGCTCAAACGATGGCGTTTAAGGAGAAAGGGGCCCTGCATTTTAGATCCCATGAAGCTTTGAAGTGAGTTGCAGCGAGGTGGGCTGCGGCCTTGTTCAGAGCGGGCGGCTCCAGGCAGACTTCCCAGGCCGGGCCTGTCGCCTGCAGTCTACACGTGCACAGAGCATGTGGCTGGGACTACCGTGGGTTGGGCAGTACTAAGGGCATTATGTGGTTTCTACCCCTCGTTCAGATAAGGAAACCGGGCAGAGGGATTAAAGAAAAACACAGGGAACAAAACCGGGTAACCCAAAGGCAGAGCCCCAGGAAGACCTGCGCATGCACTGAGCAGCTGACCCTCAGGCTCCGGCCCGCTTTTACTGCCCCCTGCTGGCTCATCACAGTCACAGTCGCCAAACAGTGGCGGTGGCTGGCCTGGGGAGGTGCAGAGGGCAGGGCCGGGAAACCTGCAGGCAGCACCCCACTTCGATGCACACCCCACTTCTTCTTTCCTGATTTTTGAGTCATTTTCTCAAGTTAAACAATATATCCTAGAAACCTCTTTTATTAAAAAATAAAATAACGAGAAATAAAAGCCAGACACCCTGAAGTGGCTTCACCTCTTCTTAAGGGCTTGCTAGGCAACCGCAGGCAGGTATTTTTATACTCATTTTACAGACTGGCAGCAGAGAGAGGCAGAAATTAAGTCACGTAGAAAGAGCGACTGTCAAGGCTCCGGGGGCCGGCCTGCCTGCTGGCCAGCTCCTTGGAGGTCAGCTGCTGTCATTCAACGACGACACCAGGCAAAACAGGAAAATAAGGAATCCCTTTCAGGTATTCCACGCAGTTCTCACCTTTAAAAATCAACCTGAGAGGGACCAGCAGTTGGTGTAATGGCTATGTCGCTGGACTCCCACGTAGCCGACTGCAGTTCGAGTCCTGGACCCAGTAGCTTAAACTCATGCTGGGTGCGTGTGCGTGCGTGCCCAAGATCCCGAGAGGAGAATGGAGGAGAAGGGATTGTGGTGTGGCCATCCCCCCGGGGGGTGATTTCTCGTTTTCTGTCTCTCTGTCTCTGGCTTTCAGGCAAGTGCATGCGCCCTATAGCAAAAACCTCTCAAAAAAACCTAAAAATCAACCTGAGAGGTGGACCCTATGGAATTGCATTACACACAGGTTTGAATGGACTTCCCAGGAAACCCAGCACCTCCTGGAGAGAGGGCCGTGACAGCCCTTCCTGACCTGCTCTGACGTGGCCAAAGGCAGATGGCAGCAGAGGCCACCACAGGGCAGGGCTTTAGCACCCACCCCTGCTTGTCAGACACCGACCTCAGGGAAGGCGCCTGACCGAAGTCAGCTCCCGGGACCACCTCCAGGGGAGACAGCAGGCAGGGAGCTGTAGAAGACAGTCTGGAGACGCAGACCCGTGGGCCGATGGAAACAGGGCCCCGCAGAAGCAAACGCAGAACTACCAAGGCCTCAAAGACACCCTACAGCAGCTCCATCCGTGTGTCCTGAGGGGAGTGCTCAGTCCTGGGGGCCTAGGTGGGCCTCCACCCCATGCAGAGGTGAGAGAGCAGTTGTGCAGCCGCAGGGCATGGGGACCACACACATCCGGATTCTCTTCTCAGGGAGACGGCCAACGAGTCGTGAAGGCTTCGCCACTAGATGACTTGGCCGTACTGAACAGACGCCGTCTTCGAGGTGTGTCTGCAGCGTACTTGGTTCGGCCAGTGAGAGGGGCACACAGGCGGTCAGTCCTGAACCAGCTGAGCACCACGGTCGGCTGGTGGCACACCCTGCAGTGCTAGACCCACATGGGAAGGTCCCAAGTTCGCGTCCTGAGGTCTCCCTATACACGCTGGGCACACACATGCCTGTGACTTGGGATGGCTGAGACTGTGGGGGGACCAGAGCTTGAATTTATGGGGAGTGCCTCTCTCTCTCGCTCAAAGAACAAACAAATAAACTTAAAAAAGAAAGAAAGAAAGAAAGAAAGAAAAAAAGAAAGAAAGAAAGGGAAGGAAGGAAGGAAGGAAGGAAGGAAGGAAGAAAGAAAGAAAGAAAGAAACAACAACAAAAAAAGAGAGGGGCCAGCCGGTGACATGGTGGTTAAGGCACTAGACTCCCACATGTCCAACCACGGTTCAAATCCTGGATCTGGCAGCCTGAAAATCACGCCTGG